AGAGGGGGTGAGAGGGGGTGAGGGGGTGAGAGGCAGGGGGTCAGGGGTGAGAGGGGGGGTGAGTCGGGGGTGAGGGGCCAGAGAAACCTCATTAGCTTCAACTCGTAGACAGAGCTCGCCATGACGGTGTGCGAGGGGTCAAATTATTGCACTGCGTTTGCCACAGATGACTGAGAGTTTAGTCTAATAAAACATTTACTCTGGAGAGAGCTGAGGAGAGTGTGTGGTCCGTGTCTGTCATACTGATTCCAAACAAAATTACAAATGGTATAAATTCGGTTAAAGTACGGAGAGAAATATGCAGCAGTGAGAAGTTTTACAGACACAAAGGAGAAATTGGTCCCGAGACTATAAATGTTAATAAATGTTAAAACATGTCCATTAAAATGAGTCAAAAAACCCAGAGGGAATACAGTGAGAAACCTTGGAGTGACAGACCCAGGACTGAGGCTGTAGACCCAGGACTGAGGCTGTAGACCCAGGACTGAGGCTGTAGACCCAGGACTGAGGCTGTAGACCCAGGACTGAGGCTGTTGACCCAGGACTGAGGCTGTTGACCCAGGACTGAGGCTGTAGACCCAGGACTGAGGCTGTAGACCCAGGACTGAGGCTGTAGATCCAGGACTGAGGCTGTAGATCCAGGACTGAGGCTGTAGACCCAGGACTGAGGCTGTAGATCCAGGACTGAGGCTGTAGATCCAGGACTGAGGCTGTAGACCCAGGACTGAGGCTGTTGACCCAGGACTGAGGCTGTAGACCCAGGACTGAGGCTGTAGACCCAGGACTGAGGCTGTAGATCCAGGACTGAGGCTGTAGACCCAGGACTGAGGCTGTAGATCCAGGACTGAGGCTGTAGATCCAGGACTGAGGCTGTAGACCCAGGACTGAGGCTGTAGATCCAGGACTGAGGCTGTAGATCCAGGACTGAGGCTGTAGACCCAGGACTGAGGCTGTAGACCCAGGACTCAAACTGTAGACCCAGGACTGAGGCTGTAGACCCAGGACTGAGGCTGTAGACCCAGGACTGAGGCTGTAGACCCAGGACTACCTCTCTTCCCCTTCTCTCCTGATCACATTATAATAAACACATTATAACCGTGTGTTTTCAGAGGTGCAGCCGGGAGAGACCACGGCACAGAGAGGCCCCCGCAAAGGTACACTTTATTTCACTTCGGACCTGGTCTTTCTCCCTTTTTCCGCAGGACGAGACGAAAGATTGCGTTCTCTGAATCCTCGTCAGTCGTGGTCATCCTCCTCCCGCCCACGGCCTGCTCCACATTCAGTGATACTTGTGTGTTAAAATACATAAATTACACCCTGCACAGACTGTGTCGCTAATGTCCTTCATTAAATATTCAGACAAGTGACAAAATGCAGAGTTTAAAGCCGCAGCAGAAGGATGCGGTGATGACTGACACAAACCTGGCTCCAACATCCACAAAAATCCACAGAATTGAACGTTTTGGCCTCATTTTGGAGATAATGAAAGTGGTGGACAATTTCTGGTAAATATCCAAATATTTTCCAGTAAATTTGCAGGGAGGGGGTTTGTGGAATCTCAAAAATATTCAATAACTGGGAATTCATTTTAATGTCATTTTGTTTTGAATTCAATAGATATTTGTAAGAAGAACCAGTTTCCCATAACGCCATGGAGACAGCCCTGAGTCTGGACTGAACAGACTCATGCTTTAGGCTCTAAATCAGGGGTCGCCAACCTTTTTGAAACCAAGAGCTACTTCTTGGGTGCTGATTAATGCGAAGGGCTACCAGTTTGTTACACACTTAAATAAATTGCCAGATATGGCCAATTTGCTCAATTTACCTTTAATTCTATGTTTTTACTAATAATTAATGATATTTATTTTGTGGAAAACCTTTTATATTTTCTCTAAGTGCACATTTTTCAAATTTAACAAATGATCACTTCTAAGACAGTCCCATTTAATCGCAATTAATCACATTTTAATCGCATATAAATATTTGACCTGAGAACAGTGAGAAGTAATTTTTTTCACATGGATTTTTAGTTTACCATTGAATAATGACTGAATACATGAGGATTAAGCAACACATGTTAATATGGAGTTTAAGGGATAACTTCTAAACATCAAATAACGTTTCTGTCATTGCCTCCACACTCTGACGACAACATATGCTCCTCCTCCTCCTCACACTAACGACAACATACTCTTTTTAAGCCCAAAATCCACTGCACACGCTGTGAGCACTAAAGCTGGGCATGCGCTGTTTGCTAAAGCTTTTATAATACGTTTTTGATGTGTGCATTCGGAGTAAACATCAGCATTAGCAGCTCACACACCTGTCTCGCTCCTCCTTCTCCTTCTCCTCCTCCTCCGCTCACACAGGAGTCACTGCTCCTCCTCCTCACACACAGAGTCCATCGCTCCATACACAGCGCTCATTCCCGTCTAATTTACTCGAATTTAAAGTTGGTCTCTGCTTGTAATAATGTACTTTTGAACAAGAAAAGTCACGGAGCTCCGGTTGGTGCGTCAGTTCAATTGGTCCGTCTGAAACTTATTCAGTGAGGAACGTTCCGCGGTGCAAAAATACATACGATTAAAATGCGTAATTTTTTTAACGCGCTTTTTTGTGTGTAATTAATTATTCTTTATTAACTTGTTAAAGTCCCGGCTCTAGTTTATATGCCATTTGTAAGTTGCATGTAAGTATGATTTAAACAAGAATAGCACTGGTAAGTGCTGCCATTTGAGCTATTTTTAGAACAGGCCAGCGGGCGACTCATCTGGTCCTTGCGGGCGACCTGGTGCCCGCGGGCACCGCGTTGGTGACCCCTGCTCTAAAGTGTCTCCAGTGGACCAGTAGGGGGCGCTGTCTCTACTACCACAGGGGATGAAAATGACATAGATATAAGTGTATTTGAAAAACGCCTGTCTGTTTTTAGTCAAGATTATACTAAAATATACTCTCCTCAACTATATTCAAGTTCCCAATAAAAAGTCCACAAAAATTCCCAAATACTGTAATTCCAGTTTATTCCCAAAAATTCCCAAAATGCGAGACCTTTTTTCCCCTCGTCGTTCGCTGTTGTGTGAAGCCATTAGTGCCAGAAACATGTTTTCTGTTATCAAATTATATACTGCAGTTCATGCAAGGCAGCCCAGGAATGTACCAGGCTTTTGACCAAGTCTGTTGTCATTCGCATTAGTGTTATAATGATACACACATTTACTCTGCTGCGTCTGCCAGCTGCCCCGGGGCTGAGTGAGGACAACATGGCTGCCAAATACCACCTAGTTTCATACAACCGGCTGGAATCTAACCAACAACGCACACACACACACATAGACACACACACACAGACACACGCACACACACACACACACACAGACAGACACACACAGAGAAACACACACACAGACACACACACACACAGACACACACACACACACAGACACACACAGAGAAACACACACACACACACGCACACACATAGACACACCCACACAAAGACACACGCACACACACACACACAGACAGACACACACAGAGAAACACACACAGACAGACACACACACAGAGAAACACACACAGACAGACACACACATAGACACACACACACAAAGACACACGCACACACACACAGACACACTCACACACACACACACACACAGACACACACACACAAAGACACACGCACACAGACACACACACAAAACACTGACAAACACACACACATACAGTCATGCGTACTCACACACACTCGCCTACACATACAAGCACGCACACATGCCCAGTTGTCCACCCATGCAAACACACACACGCACACACACACAGGCACTCACACACTGAAACACATGTACACACAAAACACTGACACACAGACAGGCACTCAGACACACCTAATCACACATGCACACACCAACACACACTCACAGACACACGCACACATACACACACACACTGACACCGACACACACACACACACACAGACACGCACACACATACACACACACACACTGACACACACACACAGACACACACACACACACAGACACACACACACACACAGACAGACACACACACACACACACACACACAAACCCACACACTGACACACACACACACATACACACACACACACACACACACACAAACCCAGCCAAAAGTTTGCATTTACTGTAACTTCCAGCTCGAATCCATTTCCTTTGCGTTCGACAATCGCGTTGAACTTTGTGGATAATATGAATGTCTTTGAAGATGTAGCCACAGGACCTCGCTGCAACGTCACACACTCCTCCCCCTCGTTAGGACTCCTCTGAGTCCGACAGCTCCTGGTCCCAATTTGAGTCTGTTCGGTCCTGCTCCAGTGGTGGACTTCTATCTGTGCTAGCTCCCATAGGCTCCCTCTGGTCTCTCTCTGGTCTCTCTCTGGTCTCTCTCTGGTCTCTCTCTGGTCTCTCTCTGGTCTCTCTCTGGTCTCTCTCTGGTCTCTCTCTGGTCTCGCTCTGGTCTCTCTCTGGTCTCTGTCTCTCTCTCTGGTCTCTCTCTCTGGTCTCTCTCTGGTCTCTCTCTGGTCTCTCTCTGGTCTCTCTCTGGTCTCTCTCTGGTCTCGCTCTGGTCTCTCTCTGGTCTCTGTCTCTCTCTCTGGTCTCTCTCTCTGGTCTCTCTCTGGTCTCTCTCTGGTCTCTGTCTGGTCTCTCTCTGGTCTCTCTCTGGTCTCTCTCTGGTCTCTCTCTGGTCTCTGTCTCTCTCTCTGGTCTCTCTCTGGTCTCTCTCTGGTCTCTCTCTGGTCTCTCTCTGGTCTCTCTCTGGTCTCTCTCTGGTCTCTGTCTCTCTCTCTGGTCTCTCTCTCTGGTCACTCTCTCTGGTCTCTCTCTGGTCTCTCTCTCTCTACTCTCTCAGCTCTCTCTCCTCTCTCTCTCTCTGCTCTCTCTCTCTCCGCTCTCTCTCTCTCTCTCCGCTCTCTCTCTCTGCTCTCCCTGCTCTCTCTCTCTCTCTCCGCTCTCTCTCTCTCTCTGCTCTCCCTGCTCTCTCTCTCTCCGCTCTCTCTCTCTGCACTCTCTCTCTCTCCGCACACTCTCTCTCTCTCTCTCTCCGCTCTCTCTCTCTCCTCTCTCTCTCTCTCTCCGCTCTCTCTCTCTGCTCTCCCTGCTCTCTCTCTCTCTCTCTCCGCTCTCTCTCTCTGCTCTCCCTGCTCTCTCTCTCTCCGCTCTCTCTCTCTGCACTCTCTCTCTCTCCGCACACTCTCTCTCCGCTCTCTCTCTCTCCTCTCTCTCGCTCTGCTCTCTCTCTCCGCTCTCTCTCTCTCTCTCTCTCTCTCTCTCTCCGGTCTCTCTCTGCTCTCTCTCTCTCCGCTCTCTCTCTCTCTCTCCTCTCTCTCTCTCTCTCTCTCTCTCTCCTCTCTCTCTCTCTCTCCTCTCTCTCTCTCTCTCTCTCTCCGCTCTCTCTCTCTCTCTCTCTCTCCGCTCTCTCTCTCTCTCTCCGCTCTCTCTCTCTCCTCTCTCTCTCTCTCTCTCCGCTCTCTCTCTCTCTCTCCGCTCTCTCTCTCTCTCTCCGCTCTCTCTCTCTCCTCTCTCTCTCTCTCTCTCCGCTCTCTCTCTCTCTCTCTCTCTCTCCTCTCTCTCTCTCTCTCTCTCTCTCTCTCTCTCTCTCTCCGCTCTCTCTCTCTCTCTCTCTCTCTCCTCTCTCTCTCTCTCCTCTCTCTCTCTCTCTCTCTCTCCGCTCTCTCTCTCTCTCTCCGCTCTCTCTCTCTCCTCTCTCTCTCTCTCTCCTCTCTCTCCGCTCTCTCTCTCTCTCTCTCTCTCTGCTCTCTCTCTCTCTCTCTCTTCGCTCTCTCTCCTCTCTCTCTGCTCTCTGCTCTCTGCTCTCTCTCTCTTCGCTCTCTCTCTCTCTCCTCTCTCTCTCTCTCCTCTCTCTCTCTGCTCTCTGCTCTCTCTCTCTCTGCTCTCTCTCTCTGCTCTCTCTCTCTCTCTCTCTCTCTGCTCTCTCTCTCTCTCTCTCTCTCTCTCTCTCTGCTCTCTCTCTCTCTCTCTCTCCGCTCTCTCTCTCTCCGCTCTCTCTCTCACACACTAATCTCAAACATCTGTGTGATTTATGTGTAAAGTGTGTGCTCCGTGGACCAGAGCACAGCGGGGCCAGGGGTTTGTTCCAGTGGTAATTGCTCTCTGTGGCTCCGTGCCCGATCCGTCATTTACTCTCCCAGACTGGGCGCTCTGCCGGGGGCCGGGGGTCTGCTGCCCGCACTAATGAGCCTCTTATCGGGGAGATGAGTCCAGCCCCCAAAGCCAGCGCCGCCAGCTCCGATCGCTCCACACCTCCATTAGTCACCGGTCGGACACTAAAGAAATACAACCAGAGTTTTCTCTCTTCTGGACTGTGTTTGGTGTCAGTGTTGCAGATTTATGGAAATGTCCTCCTGAATTAAGCTCTTTGTCCAGAGATTCAGATTATTCACCGTTTGCAGTAAAACCACATTGGAATACATGTGCGAGAGTCCCCAGTGTGCAGCAGACAAGTACATGAATTACAACAAGATCTCTCTGAACCAGTGACGTGCGGTCAGATGAGGCAGCTGAGGTCCGGCCTCACCTAAGAGCATGGAAAGAAAAAAATAATAAAATGGAAACAATATATCGAGTGATTTGTGCTTTTGTGTTTTTTCAATGTAACTTTGCCTTATTTCATTTATATATATATAATATTTTTCTCATACTTGACAGAGCGGCGCGCTGAGGCGAGCCTCACTTGAGAGACGTAAAAGCCCATAGCTCACTGTGCGAGAGGCCCATGCAGTCTACCTTTGAGAGGATGGGTCATAAATTGTGTTTTTGAAACAAATATGGGTCTAAACCACGGCTTGTAGTATCACCAAATGAGGCCAGCCTCAGGGGGCGCAGGTGAGCCCAGAATTCGACTGCATTCAATTCCATCAGAAAGCTCCTTTCTTGTTCTTCTTCTGCTAAGGGCCGCGACAGGTTTGGCTAACAAACATATAACACCTTTTTAGATCATTTAAAATCCACTTGAAACATGAAACATTCTGCTGTAGACAAACAAATTGTAGGTCCTGTTGACTTATATGATATATGTTCATCTGATTGGGGGGCCTCACCAATCACCAACCTCACCGCACCTCACTGCTCTGAACTATCTCTCTGGGCTCTCTAATCTCTCTCTCTGGTCTCTCTCTGGTCTCTCTCTTGTCTCTCTCTCTGGCCTCTCTCTCTGGTCTCTCTCTTGTCTCTCTCTCTGGCCTCTCTCTCTGGTCTCTCTCTTGTCTCTCTCTCTGGCCTCTCTCTCTGGTCTCTCTCTGGCCTCTCTCTCTGGTCTCTCTCTTCTCTCTCTCTCTGGCCTCTCTCTCTGGTCTCTCTCTTGTCTCTCTCTCTGGCCTCTCTCTCTGGTCTCTCTCTCTGGTCGGGTAGTTCATTATAATTGTATGGCGCACCTATGGCCGTGTTTGTATTGTTTTCTGTCGTTCTTTGTGCAGATTACATCAAAGGCTCCATGTGCAACAACAGCCCCTGCTCTCTGAACTCGGACAACCCGTACGCCACCATTCGAGACCCCCCAGGGCTCAGCTGTAAGCACCCGGTCCTGGGGGACAGCAGCTACGTGGAGGTGAAGTCCCCGTCCCACAGAGAGGTGCCCTTCGGAGGCACCGCCACGCTCCTGGGCGCCGCCACCAGGGCCGTGTTTGAAGTGGGTGAGTCACAACGTCATTATCAACTCTGGATTCATCACGTCAGAGTCTGGTCTCTCTCTCTCTGGTCTCTCTCTCTCTGTCTCTCTCTCTTGTCCCTCTCTCTCTGGTCTCTCTCTCTGGTCTGTCCCTCTCTCTTGTCCCTCTCTCTCTAGTCTCTCTCTGGTCTCTCTCTGGTCTCTCTCTCTCTCTTTCTTTTGTCCCTCTCTCTCTGGTCTCTCTCTCTCTGGTCTCTCTCTCTCTGGTCTCTCTCTCTCTCTTTCTTTTGTCCCTCTCTCTCTGGTCTCTCTCTCTCTGGTCTCTCTCTCTGGTCTCTCTCTGGTCTCTCTCTCTGGTCTCTCTCTGGTCTCTCTCTCTGGTCTCGCTCTGGTCTCTCTCTCTGGTCTCTCTCTGGTCTCTGTCTGGTCTCTCTCTCTGGTCTCTCTCTCTGGTCTCTCTCTGGTCTCTCTCTCTGGTCTCTCTCTCTGGTCTCTCTCTGGTCTCTCTCTCTGGTCTCTCTCTCTGGTCTCTCTCTGGTCTCTCTCTCTGGTCTCTCTCTGGTCTCTCTCTCTGGTCTCTCTCTGGTCTCTCTCTCTGGTCTCGCTCTGGTCTCTCTCTGGTCTCTCTCTGGTCTCTCTCTCTGGTCTCTCTTGTCTCTCTCTGGTCTCTCTCTCTGGTCTCTCTCTCTGGTCTCTCTCTAGTCTCTGTCTGGTCTCTCTCTGGTCTTTCTCTCTGGTCTCTCTCTGGTCTCTCTCTGGTCTCTCTCTGGTCTCTCTCTGGTCTCTCTGCCTGGTCTCTCTCTGGTCTCTCTCTCTGGTCTCTGTCTGGTCTCTCTCTGGTCTCTCTGTCTGGTCTCTCTCTGGTCTCTCTCTGGTCTCTCTCTAGTCTCTCTCTCTAGTCTCTCTCTCTGGTCTCTTTCTCTGGTCTCCCTCCGGTCTCCCTCCAGTCTCTCTCTGTTCTCTCTCTGTTCTCTCTCTGGTCTCTCTCTGGTCTCTCTCTAGTTTATCTCTGGTCTCTCTCTGGTCTCTGTCTGGTCTCTCTCTGGTCTTTCTCTCTGGTCTCTCTCTGGTCTCTCTCTCTGGTCTCTCTCTGGTCTCTGTCTGGTCTCTCTCTCTGGTCTCTCTCTCTGGTCTCTCTCTGGTCTCTCTCTGGTCTCTCTCTGGTCTCTCTCTGGTCTTTCTCTCTGGTCTCTCTCTGGTCTCTCTCTCTGGTCTCTCTCTGGTCTCTCTCTCTGGTCTCTCTCTCTGGTCTCTCTCTGGTCTCTCTCTGGTCTCTCTCTCTGGTCTCTCTCTGGTCTCTCTCTCTGGTCTCTCTCTCTGGTCTCTCTCTGGTCTCTCTCTGGTCTCTCTCTCTGGTCTCTCTCTGGTCTCTCTCTGGTCTCTCTCTCTGGTCTCTCTCTCTTGTCTCTCTCTGGTCTCTCTCTGGTCTCTCTCTGGTCTCTCTCTCTGGTCTCTCTCTGGTCTCTCTCTGGTCTCTCTCTGGTCTCTCTCTCTGGTCTCTCTCTCTGGTCTCCCTCTGGTCTCTCTCTGGTCTCTCTCTGGTCTCTCTCTGGTCTCTCTCTCTGGTCTTTCTCTCTTGTCTCTCTCTGGTCTCTCTCTCTGGTCTCTCTCTGGTCTCTCTCTCTGGTCTCTCTCTGGTCTCTCTCTGGTCTCTCTCTCTGGTCTCTCTCTGGTCTCTCTCTGGTCTCTCTCTCTGGTCTCTCTCTGGTCTCTGTCTGGTCTCTCTCTCTGGTCTCTCTCTCTCTGGTCTCTCTCTGGTCTCTCTCTCTGGTCTCTCTCTGGTCTTTCTCTCTGGTCTCTCTCTGGTCTCTCTCTCTGGTCTCTCTCTGGTCTCTCTCTGGTCTCTCTCTCTGGTCTCTCTCTGGTCTCTCTCTCTGGTCTCTCTCTGGTCTCTCTCTCTGGTCTCTCTCTGGTCTTTCTCTCTGGTCTCTCTCTCTGGTCTCTCTCTCTTGTCTCTCTCTGGTCTCTCTCTGGTCTCTCTCTCTGGTCTCTCTCTGGTCTCTCTCTCTGGTCTCTCTCTGGTCTCTCTCTCTGGTCTCTCTCTGGTCTCTCTCTGGTCTCTCTCTGGTCTCCCTCTGGTCTCTCTCTGGTCTCTCTCTCTGGTCTCCCTCTGGTCTCTCTCTGGTCTCTCTCTGGTCTCTCTCTCTCTCTGTGCCTCTGGCTTCATCGCGCCAGAGTGTGACGTCATGGTGGATCTTTGTCACAGTTAAATCTCTATATTCAGCAATTTTAAACCAATTTCAAACCTATTGCTCCTCACTTTCTGCAGTGTATTTTGATAACCCTGGAGGTCGCATTATGAACCGTGTGTGTTCTTCCGCAGAGCCCTCCGTGAGCGTGCTGCAGGGGCCTAACGGAATGGCCACGGGCTTCTCCCAGAGTCCGTACGACCTGCCGCGTCCCAGCGCCCTGCAGAGCCACCTCCAGAGCCACTATGACATTCTCCCTCTGCACCACACCTCAGCCTCAGACCCCCCTCCCCTGGCCCCCGAGAGCCCCAGCTCCCTGCTCTAAAGGCCCCCCACCACACCCACCACCTGCGGCAGGACCAGGACTCACACCAGCGACCACTACTGTTGGCTTTACCTGCCGGACCCCAAGCCAAAGGGCCCTCCAGAGACCCTCACGCAGACACAGGCTCGTGTGGTCCTCAAACAGGCCTCACTCTCTCCACACAGACGCGACGAAGGCTAGATTTATAAAAAATATACAGAGATGAGCATTTATCCACAGGACGAGGAGCAGAACTCTCCCAAGTCCCCAGACTGAGCCAAAACATGTTTTCAGTGTGTTTCTGCTCTCCACTCCTCTCTGTTTATGATTATTGGATGTTAAGGAAGTATTCTCTCTTTTGTGTTTTATTATTAAGAGTTTGTTTATGAATTTATATACAGTAAGTGATGGTGATTTTATTGACGTGACCCTAGATAAAAAGAAAAGCATGAGCAGATAAAGGATTCCCACTGTAGATAACGCAATTATTCTGTGAAATTATCAGTGTCATTTTGTGAAGACTTTTTGTTCCTTTTCCAGGAAGTTAGTTTGGTTTAGTTTCACTTTTCACTTAGAGTAGAGCAAAAGGTTTTCAATCAGACACCAGTAGAGCAAGTCCTCCCACTTAGAGAGATGTCTGTAACTGTCCCCATATGTGCAGTAAACCTCAACTAAGACAGACATGAGCAAAACAATCCGAAAAATCACATGATGGAAAATAAGTATTTAGTCAATGACAAAAGTCCATCTCAACACTGTGTTTCAGACCCTTTGTTGGCAAAGACAGCGGTCACAAGGTTTTCACATGTTGGTGGTATTTTGGCCCATTCCTCCTTTCAGCTGATCCTCAATGGTCTTGTTGATGGAGGTTTTCACTCTAAATCGGAGGACTCATGACCCCATTCATTCTTTCCTTTACACCAGGGGTCTCAAACTTCATTTATCTGGAGGTTGTGAGGTGCTTTCCAGAATCTGGGCATTAAAGGGTCAATTCATCACGTGTTTGTGTGAAAACAAAATAGAACATTTTGGTTGATAATTATAATGTATCGATTTTATACAGTGCTTTTCTGGACACCAAATTATTTATTCACTCCAAACACAGTGATGATAAACTACTACCGTAGCCACAGCTGCCCTGGGGCACACTGACAGAAGCGATGCAACCAGTCTGTGCCATCGGCCCCTCCCACCACCACCAACCATTCACACACACACCAGACTCATTCTAATGTGGGGGAAGTGTCTTGCCAAAGGACACAGCCACAGTTTGGCACCTGCTGTTCCCAGAGGTCTCCCATCACAGCACTAACCAGGCCCTGCCCTGCTTAGCTTCAGAGGGCCGACAGAATCTGGCTTTCACCTGCAGGTTAAAACTAAAACTCATTGTTATTTAGTTATATCCAAAAAACATTGCGCCTACTGTGAAGCATGGGGGTGGAAACATCATGATTTGGGGGCGGGTTTCTTTTTGACGATTTCTGGATTTTTCTCTCGCTGTTGAGGTAAACCTGTGATGAAAACGACAGACATCTCTCATTCATTTAAGTGGGCAGACTTGCAGAACTAGTGTCCGTCTTGATACTTTTCCACCTCACTATTAAGTAAAAGTACAAATGTAAATGATAAATATGGTGCAGCTCAAACCTGTGTGTATAAAGTACTTCTAAGATATATAATATTTATGTTTTTATAACGTCCATGAACTGTGAAGAAGCATCCCATTCTCCGTAGAAGCAATAACATGTTGACAATCGTGTGTTGACATCAGAAAGTCCATGTTCTGTTTGGTTTCTCTCTTTTGTAGCTCCCACTGTCTCCACCACGTGCCTTGTTCTCGGCACCTCTTTCAATTTCAAATAAAATCTATACGCTTCATTTCAGTCGCGACGTCACTTCTCTGCGCCCCCTGGAGGCGAGAGGCAGGTACTAACACTGCCGTAATCTCTTTCTTCTTTTTTTAATTTTCATTTATTGTCATTTTGTACATGACAAAACTCAACCAAAACAAGATACTCAAAGATGTAAATATAAATACAGAACAAAAACACCAAAATGAATATTAATGTTGAAGGTTTAGGAAAGAACCGCCCTTTTCCACTTTATGAACACAAATCTCTGCTCTTATTGGACGAGCACGTATCACCAGAATGATGACAGTTAGGAGGACCAATCGTCTTGATGATCCACCCAGAAGTAGAAATTCCTCCTATATACTTTTTAAATTACTACTACCGATAAATAAAATGTTAATTAATTTACAAAAGGCAGTGAGAAGAATTAGAAACTTATTATATACTTTCTTCTACTTTTCTCTGCTTTGTCTGCGGTCTCCCATCACAGCACTGACCAGGCCCGGCTCTGCTTAGCCTCTGAGATCTGATAAGGATCTGAGGAGCAGGTGTGGCCGCAGAGCAAAGTATATCTAACCCCGGAACCCATAGTGGAATATAGAGCTCTGACTGCAGACGCTGCTCCCTCATGACCAGAGGTGAGGGAGGGACTAGAGCTCTGAGTGTAGACGCTGCTCCCTCATGACCAGAGGTGAGGGAGGGGACTAAAGCTCTGACTGAAGACGCTGCTCCCTCATGATTAGAGGTGAAGGAGAGGACTAAAGCTCTGACTGAAGACGCTGCTCCCTCATGACCAGAGGTGAGGGAGGGGACTAGAGCTCTGACTGAAGACGCTGCTCCCTCACGACCAGAGGTGAGGGAGGGGACTAAAGCTCTGACTGAAGACGCTGCTCCCTCATGACTAGAGCTTTGACTGCAGACGCTGCTCCCTAATGACCAGAGGTGAGGGAGGGGACTAAAGCTCTGACTGAAGACGCTGCTCCCTAATGACCAGAGGTGAGGGAGGGGACTAAAGCTCTGACTGAAGACGCTGCTCCCTCATGACCAGAGGTGAGGGAGGGGACTAAAGCTCTGACTGAAGACGCTGCTCCCTCATGATTAGAGGTGAAGGAGAGGACTAAAGCTCTGACTGAAGACGCTGCTCCCTCATGACCAGAGGTGAGGGAGGGGACTAGAGCTCTGACTGAAGACGCTGCTCCCTCACGACCAGAGGTGAGGGAGGGGACTAAAGCTCTGACTGAAGACGCTGCTCCCTCATGACTAGAGCTTTGACTGCAGACGCTGCTCCCTAATGACCAGAGGTGAGGGAGGGGACTAAAGCTCTGACTGAAGACGCTGCTCCCTCATGACCAGAGGTGAGGGAGGGGACTAAAGCTCTGACTGAAGACGCTGCTCCCTCATGATTAGAGGTGAAGGAGAGGACTAAAGCTCTGACTGAAGACGCTGCTCCCTCATGACCAGAGGTGAGGGAGGGGACTAGAGCTCTGACTGAAGACGCTGCTCCCTCACGACCAGAGGTGAGGGAGGGGACTAAAGCTCTGACTGAAGACGCTGCTCCCTCATGACTAGAGCTTTGACTGCAGACGCTGCTCCCTAATGACCAGAGGTGAGGGAGAGGACTAGAGCTCTGACTGAAGACGCTGCTCCCTCATGACCAGAGGTGAGGGAGGGGACTAGAGCTCCGACTGCAGACGCTGCTCACTCATGATCTGTTTGGACTGACTGAACATATGGTATTGTATTTTCTCTTTTAGATTCATATTCTTTTAAAAATTAAGTGAATTTGAGTCTGAAATAAATATTAATGACAGTAAACATAATAATAATAGAAGTTAAAAATTGAAATAATATACATGACTTTGACTTAACTGGGTGACGTCACTAGTGCAGTACCGCTTCGTGCCACAAGATGGAGGTGTTTTCAGGAGGCAGGCTTTACACAACTACAGTCCAAAGAAACACGTTTCTTTAAGACTTTTAAGACAGTTATCAAATAAAAGACCAGATCCTCCCCCACAAGAGGAGAGAATGTGGCCAACACAGGTAATAAAGACGCATAAAACCTCTAGCTTTAGCATAATAAAGAAGCTAGTATAAAATCTCTAGCTTTAGCATAATAAAGAAGCTAGTATAAAAGCTCTATCTTTAGCATAATAAAGAAGCAAATAAAAACTGAATACAAACTCCAAATATGCTTGGACTTTCTGTCTAAAAGTCACAGGGAAATAGTTTCACTTCAGTCTGCGCCCTGCAGTTGCGCACTGTGTCCAGCAGGGGGCAGCACAATCCGCGTCCTTTTCGCTGTTAGAGTAAAAGGACTCGGAGCTGGAGAGAGAGAGAGCGAGAGGTTCGAATCCCGATAACAGACTCGAGAGTCTCTGCAGAGGAAAGAAGCAGGACCCGTCTCTCTGGTTCACTCCCATCAGGGGCGGAGGTAAGACTGACTCCACACGGTTCTCACACCGCGGCGCGCGTGCATGTGCAGTCCCACGTGCGCGCGCCTCGCATCCGAGCTCGTGTGACGTTGGTGGGCGGTCACGTGGGCAGCGCAGCTCGGGATAAAGGCGCTGCTCTCTCTGTCTGTGGATGTGGTCAGAGGCTCGGACCCTGACGATGGACGCGATTGTTGTTGTTTTGTGGTTACGTCGTCGCGCGCTCGCTCAGTGAACAGACGCAGATCCGCGGAGACAGAGACGTGAGTACACTGACAACCACAACCCTCTCACCGCGTTACTCTGCGTTACTCTCCGTTACTCTGCGTTACCTGCCTTTTATCCCCGTGATTTGCTACTGACCGAACCGTAGCCTTCTGTATCTGTATTGTTACGCACGCTCACGTTGTTGGGCCCACCGTAGCCTCTCCCACACACGCACACACACACGCAAACGCACGCACACACGTTTGATGTTTACTCTCGCAGATCCATTGTATCGGACCTAATTTAAAATAGTGTGTCATGTCTTCTCTTGATGTCCCTCTCTGCGCTGCCATTGGCCAGAGCAGGTCAGATGGACTGAAGCTTATCTCAGCGCAGATGCTCAGTACGATGGCCTCTAATGTTTACGGAATCATCAATATCATGCATTAAGATCTCCCGTTTGTCCAGGACCCAGTGCGGTTATGTCTCCGCCTGGGTGCGTGTGTTTGTTTGGGTCTGGTCTACATTCCTCGCTGGGTCTGGGCGTGTGGCTGCTCCACAGTCACGCAGGGGCTCCCCTGTCAAACGTGAGGAATGCAAATGGTGGTGAGGACTTGACGCCTAAAGGGAACCAGATGTGAGCCAGCGTGCGTAAAGGGTGCATTCTCCTCCCCCACTCAGAGACACCCTGGCCCGGGCTGAGTCCACCTGAGCCGCCGCGTGGGGCCAGGGGATGTGGAGGTGTGGGGGCCAGGGGATCTCTCTCTCTCTCTCTCTGTGTGTGTGTGTGTGTGTCTGTCTTTCTCTCTCTTTCTGTGTGTGTGTGTGTGTGTGTGTGTGTGTCTTTCTCTCTTTCTCTGTGTGTGTGTGTGTCTCTCTCTCTCTCTCTCTCTCTCTCTCTCTCTCTCTCTCTCTCTTTCTCCCACGGGGATCAATAAAGTATCGATCTATCTAAAATACTTAAGTTATGATGAAATACTTTAGGTGTGGTGCAGTAATGTGTAAAAGAGGAGACTCCGCCACAGCCTCTGGTCCTGTGTCTGCAGTGAGAGAGATGCCCTGGACCATGGACCTAATACTGACCTTTACATCCAAGAATGTGGACGCTCTGAGGCTTTTACATCATATATAAAAGTACTCATTCCCTGAGTATTTCCTGGACTTCCTCGGCTTCTGTGGACTCTCTGCTTTAGTCTGAACGAGCGAGTCTCATTTAGGATTAAGTGGAGTAAGATAAATGTGTAATGACGAGTCTGGTTAGTTCCACTGTGTTAAACCGCGCTCACCATCGGAGAACACGGCTGCCTCTGCTCTGATGCTGGTGCTGAGGCTGAGGCTTTGAAGGCAGTTGTCATGACGACGGCGATACCATTTTAGGAGTGCACTTCCTGAGGAGATAAAGTGGTGGGATATCTGGACTTCCCCTGGATTCTGCTGCATGAGTCTGATGCAGTGCTGTGTAAGGAGAGAATCACATCCGTCCTTTAACTGTAGAACTCCCAGAGCAGTCAATTTGACGGCTTTTTGTTTTTGTACCCGGTGTGTGTACATTTGTGGTGTTCCTAACTTTGTGACTTTTTCTGCTTCTTTGTGTTTGTTTGGAACCGGACCGAGACCCACTTTTTTAGGTGGTCTCTTTGGTCTTCTTTGGTTCTTCATTCACACCTGCATAAAAGGTCCGGATCAGAGTTCCAAACGAATCCTGGTCCAAAGTGGACCAAAAGTGCAGGTCTGAATACAGTGTTGTGTTAGTGTTTTTTTGGTGTTTCAAGTTATTTTCTGTCTCTCTCTCACCATCTGTCTCTCTCTCTCTCTCTGTCTCCCTATCTCTGACTCTCCCTCTGTCTTTCTCTCTGTCTCCATCTCTCTCTCTGTCTCTCTGTCTCCATCTCTCACTTTGTCTCTCTCTCCCTCTGTCTCTCACTCTCTCTCCATCTCTCTCTGTGTCTCTCTCTCTCTCTCTCCCATAACATCCGTCTTGTTCCGACAAATATTCCTTGTTTTATCGATTAAACCAAATTGAGCAATAACTGTGTAATAATAGTTTTTCATGGAGTCGTGTCTCGTGTGGGTCTGCAGCTCAGGCGCCGCCACAGCTGCCCTGGGGTCTGCAGCTCAGGCGCCGCCACAGCTGCGGATGCAGGGAGGAGGCCCGTAAACACAGCCCTGAGCTTTAAAACCCGTCCTCCCTCTTGTTCTTTCACTTCCACATCACACTTCACTCTGGGGTCGCGGCCCAGAGCCCCATCTCTCCTCAAATACAGTTTTTATGGAAAGGAATGCACTTAACAGGATCCAGATGTCTCTGCTGTAATCTTCATGTTCATGTTCATGTTCATAGGCAAGACAAGTTTATTTGTATAGCACAATTCATACACAAGGCCACTCAAAGTGCTGAACAAGAAAATCATAAATAATCACAGAACATTAAAAAGAAAGATAAAAATATAAAATCCCTCAGTTGTAGCACAGTTAAACAGAACTGTCTTTAACCTGGTTTTAAACATTGTCAGAGAGGAGGCCTGTCTCACATATTCAGGAAGATTGTTCCAGATTTTAGCATGTTCATGTTATGTTCATGTCATTTTCATGTCATGTTCATGTCATGTTCATGCCATGTTCATGTTATGTTCATGTTATGTTCATGTTATGTTCATGTCATGTTCATGTCATGTTCATGTCATGTTCATGTCATGTTCATGTTATGTTCATGTTATGTTCATGTTATGTTCATGTCATGTTATGTTCATGTTATGTTCATGTCATGTTCATGTTATGTTCATGTTATGTTCATGTTATGTTCATGTTATGTTATGTTCATGTTATGTTCATGTTCATGTTATGTTCATGTTATGTTCATGTTCATGTCATGTTCATGTTCATGTTATGTTCATGTTATGTTCATGTTATGTTCATGTTATGTCCATGTTATGTTCATGTCATGTTCATGTTATGTTCATGTTATGTTCATGTCATGTTCATGTCATGTTCATGTCATGTTCATGTCATGTTCATGTTATGTCCATGTTCATGTCATGTTCATGTCACGTTCATGTTATGTTCATGTTATGTTATGTTCATGTTATGTTCATGTTATGTCCATGTTATGTTCATGTTATGTCCATGTTATGTTCATGTTATGTTATGTTCATGTTCATGTTATGTTCATGTTCATGTCATGTTCATGTTATGTCCATGTTATGTTCATGTTATGTTCATGTTATGTTCATGTCATGTTCATGTTATGTTCATGTTATGTTATGTTCATGTTATGTTCATGTTATGTCCATGTTATGTTCATGTTATGTCCATGTTATGTTCATGTTATGTTATGTTCATGTTCATGTTATGTTCATGTTCATGTTATGTTCATGTTCATGTCATGTTCATGTTATGTCCATGTTATGTTCATGTTATGTTCATGTTCATGTCATGTTCATGTTATGTTCATGTTATGTTCATGTCATGTTCATGTCATGTTTATGTCATGTTCATGTTATGTTCATGTTATGTTCATGTCATGTTCATGTTATGTTCATGTCATGTTCATGTTCATGTTATGTCCATGTTATGTTCATGTTATGTTCATGTCATGTTCATGTCACGTTCATGTCATGTTCATGTTATGTTCATGTTATGTTCATGTTATGTTCATGTTCATGTCATGTTCATGTTCATGTTCATGTTCATGTTATGTCCATGTTATGTTCATGTTATGTTCATGTTATGTTCATGTTATGTTCATGTTCATGTTCATGTTATGTCCATGTTATGTTCATGTTATGTTCATGTCATGTTCATGTCATGTTCATGTTATGTTCATGTCATGTTCATGTCACGTTCATGTTATGTTCATGTCATGTTCATGTTATGTCCATGTCATGTTCATGTTATGTCCATGTTATGTTCATGTATGGACTGCTCCACACTCAGGAGATAAAACAGAAACTTATGTAACAGAACAAATAATATAATTATGTAAGGGATAACGTATATTACGCAGGTCATTATCAGAAAATAAATACCGACAGCGCGGAGGGGTCCGCTTCGCCCGATAATGACCTGCGTAATATACGTTATCCCGCTTATTATACGGCTTTATACCAACAGAACACACAACATAAACTTCAGTCCACTTTTAGGAATGCCGAAAGGTTTATTTAATGACAGAAAATAAAATAGTTCCCAAAGGCTTTCCCGTGGCTATGCGAGTAACAGTTAGGCTGGCAACTTCCAAACTAGAACTCTCTGGAACTGCATAAAAACTGAACACAGAATCCTGAACATCAGCGGTGAGTGACCCAAACATAAACTTAACCTAAATCCATAATTCCATCCTCTGCAAATGTTCCTAAAATGTTCCGGGCTCTTAAAATGTGCCGGTATCTACTTCCGGGTTTTTCGGGATCGCCTTTTCTCGCATTACATCAGTGTTTTTGTCATGAAAACGTAAACGGAAAATTCTGAAAACTTCCGTGCACTTGTATTAAGACTGGATATGTATAATTCACTCTCTGATAAACATTTCATTGCGTTGATTGATTGGCATTTGCGTTTATTGAGCGGCCAGAACTACTTCCGGGTTTTTCACGATCGCTTTTTGACGCAGAGAAATAGTATTTTTGTCATGAAGACAAGACCAGAAAATTCTGAAAATTTCCGTGCACGTGTGTGAAGAATGTTTATTTATAAGTATTCTACGATTAACATTTAAGTGTGTTGATTGAGCGTGGCTAGCTCAGGAGTGCACGGAACTACTGTCGGAGTTATCCACGCATTTGAAAGACAAGCACAGAGTGCGTTGCCAAAGGGCAGCGGTCATTATTGTTTTGAGAGGTCCGTTATAGAAAATAATGACCGGTAGAACGTTTTGAAATTACATTCAAATCAATGGAGCGTTCTCCTGCTGCTCTGAGGAGCCGTATAATAAGTCATAATAACATGGGCCTCCTCAAGGTTTATCACTTTTGATTTTGTTCTCATTCTTTGCCGAAGCAGGAAGTCAGTGATGATCCAGGACATTTAAGCTTTTTTATTATCAACATTTATGGACGTTGGTCTCTGCCCTTTATGTGTTTTTCATCACTGCATTTCTTGTGTTGGAACGCTTTGATTCTCTCATCTGTTGTTGGAGAATCAGCAGCTTTGGAAAGTCCTCAGAGATGACTTTGAACATGTTTGGACTGAGGCTGTAGACCCAGGACTGAGGCTGTAGACCCAGGACTGAGGCTGTAGACCCAGGACCGAGGCTGTAGACCCAGGACTGAGGCTGTAGACCCAGGACTGAGGCTGTAGACCCAGGACTGAGGCTGTAGACCCAGGACTGAGGTTGTAGACCCAGGACTGAGGCTGTAGACCCAGGACTGAGGCTGTAGATCCAGGACTAAGGCTGTAGACCCAGGACTGAGGCTGTAGACCCAGGACTGAGGCTGTAGACCCAGGACCGAGGCTGTAGACCCAGGACCGAGGCTGTAGACCCAGGACCGAGGCTGTAGACCCAGGACCGAGGCTGTAGACCCAGGACTGAGGCTGTAGACCCAGGACTGAGGCTGTAGATCCAGGACTAAGGCTGTAGACCCAGGACTGAGGCTGTAGACCCAGGACTGAGGCTGTAGACCCAGGACTGAGGCTGTAGACCCAGGACCGAGGCTGTAGACCCAGGACTGAGGCTGTAGACCCAGGACCGAGGCTGTAGACCCAGGACCGAGGCTGTAGATCCAGGACCGAGGCTGTAGACCCAGGACCGAGGCTGTAGACCCAGGACCGAGGCTGTAGACCCAGGACTGAGGCTGTAGACCCAGGACCGAGGCTGTAGACCCAGGACTGAGGCTGTAGATCCAGGACTAAGGCTGTAGACCCAGGACTGAGACTGTAGACCCAGGACTGAGGCTGTAGACCCAGGACCGAGGCTGTAGATCGGCTGCATGCTAACCCGGCCGTGTCCTTGTCTGTGCAGTGGTAATGGGCAGTGATGGAGGACAAAGGCCCCCGTGTCGCTGACTACTTCGTGGTCGCCGGCCTCACCGACTCGCCCTCGCCGCTGGAGGAGGGCCTGCACTGGGATGACGTCTCCCCACGGTCGCTCCAGCCCAAAGCCTCGATCACCGATGTGGCCGTGGTCATCCGCTCGCTGGGGGAGGAGGTGCCGGCCGGCTTCACCTGCCTCGACAGCACCCCCTCTGGCCTCTCGGCGGAACTGAACGGGGCCAGCCTCCGGGGCCCGCAGATCTTCTTGTGCTTCAAGCGTGGGAGAGATAAGCCGCCGCTGACAGACCTCGGGTTGGTAATCCTCCCTGACCCTCACACCACTAATCACTGCTGTAATCTGCAGCGGGACTCGAACCATGGAGGCCAACGTTATGGGTTATGTTTGAGGAGAAAACAGACACCTTTCTGTGTTTAAAAATCTGTATTTTTCTAGTTTTGTCATGAGTAAAAGATGTGAGAGGATTGTAAACAAAACACAAAAATAACAAACTCCAGACTCAAACTAAGACCAATGGACCAACAACACACAGGGACACACAACCAGAGGAGCACAGGGACACACAACCAGAGGAGAGCAGGGACACACAACCAGAGGAGAGCAGGGACACACAACCAGAGGAGCACAGGGACACACAACCAGAGGAGAGCAGGGACACACAACCAGAGGAGAGCAGGGACACACAACCAGAGGAGCACAGGGACACACAACCAGAGGAGAGCAGGGACACACAACCAGAGGAGCACATGGTCTAAAGACACACAGAGACACACAACCAGAGGAGCACAGGGTCTAAAGACACACAACCAGAGGAGCACAGGGTATAAAGACACACAGGGACACACAACCAGAGGAGCACAGGGACACACAACCAGAGGACCACAGGGTCTAAAAACACACAGGGACATACAACCAGAGGAGCACAGGGTCTAAAAACACACAGGGACATACAACCAGAGGAGCACAGGGTCTAAAGACACACAACCAGAGGAGCACAGGGTATAAAGACACACAGGGACACACAACCAGAGGAGCACAGGGACACACAACCAGAGGACCACAGGGTCTAAAAACACACAGGGACATACAACCAGAGGAGCACAGGGACACACAACCAGAGGAGCACAGGGTCTAAAGACACACAACCAGAGGCGCACAGGGACATACAACCAGAGGAGCACAGGGTCTAAAGACACACAACCAGAGGCGCACAGGGACACACAACCAGAGGAGCACAGGGTCAAAAGACACACAACCAGAGGCGCACAGGGACACACAACCAGAGGAGCACAGGGACACACAACCAGAGGAGCACAGGGACACACAGACACACAACCAGAGGAGCACAGGGACACACAGACACACAACCAGAGGAGCACAGGGACACACAGACACACAACCAGAGGAGCACAGGGACACACAGACACACAACCAGAGGAGCACAGGGACACACAGACACACAACCAGAGGAGCACAGGGACACACAGACACACAACCAGAGGAGCACAGGGACACACAACCAGAGGAGCACAGGGACACACAGACACACAACCAGAGGAGCACAGGGACACACAGACACACAACCAGAGGAGCACAGGGACACACAGACACACAACCAGAGGAGCACAGGGACACACAGACACACAACCAGAGGAGCACAGGGACACACAACCAGAGGAGCACAGGGACACACAGACACACAACCAGAGGAGCACAGGGACACACAGACACACAACCAGAGGAGCACAGGGACACACAGGTGATACACATTAGGGCGGGACAATCCACTGAACAGACATGAAGCAACACTGAAAAGAAAATCAAAATAAAACCAGTAAATCAGAAAGTCCAAACCGCGACGTTTTATTATAATGCACTGAAATATAAGGTTTATTTTTTGGGTCAAAAAAGATTGAAACAAGATTGAATCTAATCCAGGCAGGTCAACCTCAGGCTCGGGGGCAAAATCTACATTTTCATTGCAGCTTTACGTTTGGAAAATGCAGATTCTCAGATCGTACCAATAACCCATTTTTCTCACAAGGTAAAATTAAACACAGCAAAGAACTCCCATGAGATTCTGTTTCATTCTTTCGCTCAATCTTGTGAAACAAAAGAGATCTGGTTCCATCCATGGATTAGCTGGACAATGCTAACCTGCTAGCTAAATGAAACAAAACAGAGTAGTCTTGGGTTTTATTCTGTCTCTGTCTCTGTGTTAGCGTCCTGTACGAGTGGAAGGAGAAGCTAAAGCCCGGCTGCCACATCGTTCAGACCACTCCGGCCGGACGTCCCGCCAACATCAGCGGCTCCTCGTCCCAGCGCATCTACATCACGTACCGCCGGGCCCCCAAGAGCCAGCCCCACACCTCCCTGGCCCTCACCGACGTCTGCATCATCGTCCCGGGGAAAGGAGAGAGCCCCCCACACACCTTCTGCAAAGTGGACAAGAACCTCAACAGCAGCATGGTGACTACAACACTGCACTTTATTATGCTAACGTTATTATGCTAACGTTACTATGCTAACATTGCAAAGGAAGGTTTCTCACCCATCATCTGTACTTCTTAGCAAGTTTTCCCGACGTTTCGTCCTCAAACTTCTTCAGGGAATGAATTCTCAGACCGCGTTGGAGATTTATATCCTATGGGTGTGGTAAGCCACACCCTAATCCTGATACTAACTCATAAACAATCTAAGGTCTGATGTAGAAGGGAGCAGGTCTAACGACCCTGCTGAGGCTAACGACCCTAACTCATTAGCATGTCACTGACCTTGTCCCAAGTTAGGGCGTTTTTAGGATGTCGTCATAGATGCGAGGCAAAACAAATCTTAACCCTCCTCCTCTGTTAAAGGGGCCATATCATGAAAAATCCACTTTTTGTGCCTTAAATGCCTTATGTTGTGAAGTTGGAACCTCTAGAAGTGCAAAAAAGTTGAAATCAGTCTCTTCATGGGTTGCAGAGAACACTTCATATTCTGTTTAGTTAAGATTTTTCAACCCATTTTGCCATTCTCTATTACGTGTTTAGAATGATTACGTCACAGTATTAGCAGCGAGACTGCCATATAAGGGCATGGGCGTCTAACAAAACACTTCGGCCCAGCCCTCCTCTGCTGCGCATCACTTCATTTGTAGTCCAAGCTCAAGGATGCCAGCAAACAGGGCTGGACTGGCCATCAGGCGTACCGGGCAATGCCCAAAGGGCTGATGCCCATATTTGGGAGTTGAACCTGTGTCACCTGGATGGGGGTGTGGTCAAAAGCGCCTCATTTGCATTTAAAGACGCTCCTCAGAACAGGTGTAGAAGAAAGGCCCGTGGAGCTACAAATAATGAGACTCAGACCCAGGCATTGCAGTTACACTTTATATAGGCCACAAATTAATGATTTAGATGTAAAAGTCAATTATTTGAAAACACGATATGTCCACTTTAAGAGAAGGTTTTTGTTTCCTCACAAAAACAAAAACACAAAACATTATTATGCTAACGTTATTATGCTAACTTTAATATCCCAAAGTTAATATGCTAACGTTATTACGCTAAAGCTAAAAATTCTGGACTTGCTTCTTTATTATGCTAAAGCTAGAGAGTTTATACTAGTTTCTTTATTAGGCTAAAGATAGTGGTTGTATCCTTGCTTCCTTATTATGCTAAAGCTAAAGCTCGAGGTTTTACACTAGCTTCTGAACAAGACATTAGAATATGATTTACCGTTTTTTAATTTATGTTTTTCTTGTTTTCAGTGGGGCTCCTCCGTGTACCTGTGCTATAAGAAGTCATTGGCCAAAGCTAACACCATCCCATACAAAGCAGGTGAAGTACCCCTTCAATCTGGGACGTATTGTATTCACCCATTACGGCGCAGCATCGAGCTCTTTCCCATGATGCAGTTTGGTCAGACCTCTCTCTCTCTCTCTCTCTCTGCTCAGGCCTGTTGTGCCGGTACCCAGAGGAGGACTACGAGTCGTTCCCTCTGCCAGAGTCCGTGCCCATGTTCTGTCTGCCCATGGGGGCCACCATCGAGTGCTGGCCCGCCCACACCAAGCACTCTCTGCCCGTCTTCTCCACCTTCGTCCTGACCGGAGCCTCCGCCGAGAAGGTCAGCCAGGACTCTTGATTATCTCAGGACTGTTGCTTCTCATGACATCACCTTTCCACCGCAGAGTCTGCTTTCAGAGGGTCATGCTTTTCTACAGTGTTGGGTCAGACTCTGCTTTTCTGAAGTGTTGGGTCAGACTCTGCTTTTCTGAAGTGTTGGGTCAGACTCTGCTTTTCTACAGTGTTGGTCAGACTCTGCTTTTCTACAGTGTTGGTCAGACTCTGCTTTTCTAAAGTGTTGGTCAGACTCTGCTTTTCTGA